TGGACTAACCAGTCAGTTCACACAGCTCAAGCCACTTGTTTCAAGTACTGCAAAAGATGCCTCGTGTTTTATTCTAAGTATCCAGGTTGTAACTGTATTGGTCTAGAGGTAAAAGGAATCAGACATGAAGAAGGGTGCTTGTGCTTGAAAGCTTACAAATAAAAACAAATGTCTGGAAAAATCTAGTTGGTCTAATAAAAGGTATCATACCTGAACCAAGAGTTCTACAGTCTGCATTACTATATATACAAGGCATATAAGGATTCTCAACTACAGATATACCAGGTACATAGGTATATATCCTAACAAATCTTTTGGAGAATAGCACTGTCCAAGACCCAGCTAGAGCTCCGACAAGATAGACAACAAGCTTTTCAGTCAACATCTTCTGCTTTTAATGACTATCAGTGCAAGTTTAGAATAAAACCCCAATACATACTATTCCATTTCTAAGAAAACACATCTTTGTTTTTCACTTGAAACAAAGCTATGCTGAAACAAAACTGTTACCTTTTTTGCTCCTTGTTCTTCTTCTACACCATCGCCTATAACAACATACACTACTTTTCTTCCAAATCTTTGAATTATTCGCTCAAAACAACTTTCCTTTCCTGAAAAAGAAATTTAAACTATTCAGGATTTTACATGGGGTAACTGGTGAAAGGATATAGTAAAACCATCTTTATTAAGCACCCATAAGATAGCCCCAGTATATACAATGTAAAATTAGCCCAACTAAGTGGCAACAGGACTGAGTACTGAGGTGTACTCTGTTCAGAAGAGTGAGGAAAGCTGATTTTATGGCCAGCAGCAGTCTTGGTTTCAGCTACAGCTCCTGATCTGCTTCTGGGTCTCTTGAGGGATCCTACATTAATGGACAGCAGTTACAGAAGTAGCACAGAAGAGGTGCCAGCGCTGTCCTTCTACATGTTGAGAGTAATTGACAAGCAAATTAACACTTTAGCTAGGTAAACTATTTAAGTTGCCACAAGAAAGAATGGGTACAAACTGACTGTGAATAAAATATAGGATGAGAATTAGAAGAAGGTTTTTAACTATGAGATGTGAAGTTCTAGATAGCCTTCCAATAGGATCTGTGGTACAAAAATCCTAACTAGTTTCAAGATCGCTTCATAAGTTTATAAGTTTAAGATGTGGAAAATGTGGGATTTTGTTAATGTAATTCCAGTTAATAAAATTGCAACAGCAGTAGCTATTCACTCATAGAAGCAAACATGCCTCTAAGTTCATAGGCTTCAGGGCTGCATCCAGATGAGCATGGATGTTTGGTTCGCTGGGGACAACTAGTGGCGGTGCACCTTGTGGCAACACTAGTTGCCCTCAGGGAACAGCTGTGCCACATGTGCTCTGGCAGGTGCGGTACAGGAGGCTGGGGCCAGCAACTGTGCTGGTCCCAGAAGCCTTACCTTGGGTCCTTGGGGCCTCCCATGGTTGCAGCAGTGGCGATCCTGTTGCCTGAAGCCTGGCTGGCAGCTGCCCCCTGCGTGTACCACTCCACTTTTTTTTGCATGCTTTTTTTTGAGCCCTGGACATCCAGGGGTCAAAAAAATCCCCTGTGCTGCTTCCTTGCAGCACAGAGAACAACTGAATGT